GTGTGTTTGGTTGTGTGTGTTTTGTTCACAAATTGGGTCCAAGCCATGATAAACTTGACTCCATAGCTATTAGATGTGTTTTTCTTGGTTACTCTCATACTCAAAAAGGTTACAAATGTTATGATCTTGTGTTATGGAAAGCTTTTGTTGCTCCAGATGTTACCTTCTTTGAGAGTTTACCCTATTTCTCTAGATGTGAACCTCCTCCTTCTGTTCTTCTTCCCTCTAAATCTGGTGATGTCTTTTTTTTTTTTTGATAAATAATAGAAACTTTTATTAATATATATCAAGAGAAAAAGATACAAGAGGGGTAAAAACTCTTAACCCTCCCAATAAGTACATTTCAGTTTACAATATTGCCCAAAAAAAGTTGACTCTTCCCACCCCTTGTTTGGCCAATGAATCTGCCAAGGAATTGACACTCCTCTTAGTCCATTGAAACTTGACTTCCATGTTTTGAGTGAATTGTCTAACTTTCTTTTTCTCATTCAGAAATTTACACAAACTAACATCGTCCTTCTGCAACCAATTGATAGCCAGCTTAGAATCACCTTCCACCATCAGTTTTCTGATATTCAACTCTTGGGCTCTTTTTACCCCTTCCAGAACAGCCAATGTTTCAGCTCTAAGAGAACCCCTCCATCCAATAGAACCAAAATACATGGCAATAATTCGACCTTCTTCATCCCTGTAAGCTCTCCCTATACCTGACGGGCCTGGATTTCCCTCAATGCTACCATCGAAGTTCAGTTTAGTGAACCCCAAAGCTGGAGGAGACCAAATTGGGTTAAATGAAATCCTTATTGGAGTTGACCAAGCCACTTATTTCCACTTCCTGATGATGTCGCCTTTTGAATAATTTTCGAAGAGCTTCATAGTCTTAGCCCAATGAGCCACCCTTATAGAAATTAGTTCAATGATGGCACCCTTATTTCTTTCTTTCCCATGATCCTTTAATTCCTTTCCTCCTAGATTGTCCAACAGATAGCTGCTCTTACACATCTCCATAGAATTTTCCCTCTTCTTTAACCCCCTAATTGAAGTAGAATGGAACAAGCTTTGTACATTTGAGGGGGGGGGGGTCCACCTGCAACCAAAAAGAGAAAAACCAACACCAGATTTCTGAAATAAATGGGCAAGATATCCGTAAGTGATGACAAGTCTCACCATTCTCCTTACAAAGGATGCACCAGTGCGGGGATAAACACCAATTAGGCCTTTTTCTTTGAAGTAGGTCACAAGTGTTACACTTTTCTAAGAAGGCTTCCCAGCAAATCCTGGGAGGGATTGGTCTACCCCAAACTTCCAAAATTGGGAAGGGGAGTTCAAAAACAGGTGAGGAATGAGCCATCTCTTTGAAAAAGGAAGAGCACGAGAAGACACCCGAAGGAGAAGGGACCCAAATCCTATTATCCCTCCTAGAGGGGTCAATACCCACTTCATCTAGGATTTTGAGCAAGTCAGAAATAAGGTTCAGTTCAGAGTCTCTAAGGGCCCTTCTAAAACCTAAGTTCCAATCAATAGTTGAATTAGAAGTGGTCAGAAAAGTGGAGACTGGCTCATTTTTAAATCGTGAAAGGGAATACAAAGAAGGGAAAAGCTCTTTCAACAGTGTGTTTCCCACCCAAACATGATCCCAAAATTTCACAAGGTTACTAGAGCAAAGGTCATACCTGATTAGAGGAAGGAAAGAAGGAAGTAAGGCATGAATGGATTTCCAAGGAAAAGCTCTTGTAGCCCTAAATGATACTCCGTATCCCATCCATTCGTCGCTTGCCCATGAATACTTAAAGCCAACTTGAGCCCACAATTTATCCCTCTCCAAAGTCAATCTCCAAAGCCATTTCCCCAATAGAGCTTCATTCTTTTTCTGCAAATTACCTAAAGCAAGCCCATCATCACTTTTGGTTTTAGTAACTATACCCCACCTGACTCTATGATCTCTTTTCTCCTCTCCTGGTTCTCATAAGAAATCTCTCATTAACTTTTTCAAGGTCCCACATACTCCCTCAAGCATTTTAAACATAGACAGAAAGTAAACAGGCAAGTTAGCCAATGTTGACTTGATCAAAGTTATCCTACCTCCCTTGGAAAGGTAATTTTTCTTCCAAGATGGTTACTCTAGACGTGATAGACAACCAGAATTGTCACCAGTAGTTGATCCAGCTCCAGCTTCTGACATGCCACCGAAGTCTTTGTCGTTAACAGATCCACCATCCTCAGATCTTGATCTTCCTATTGCTCTTCATAAAGGTAAGCATACTTGCGCAGATCACCCCTTTCTCGGTATGTCTCCTTTGCTCACTTGTCTCCTTCACATCAACGTCTCCTTTCCCTTCTGTCCTCTGTTTCTCTACCATGTTCTCTACAGGAAGCCCTCTCATCTCCTAACTGGAAGAAGGCGATGGATGAAGAATTTCATGCTCTTCAGTCCAATAATACTTGGGATCTCACTTCCTTACCACATGGGAAGCAGGTCATTGGTTGTCGATGGGTATATACGGTTAACACCATCAAGATGGCAGTATTGAGCGGTTCAAAGCTCAACTTATTGCAAAGGGGTATACTCAGGCCTATGGTGTAGACTATTCAGAAACCTTCTCTCCTGTGGCTAAAATAGGTTCGGTACAAGTGCTCATTTCTTTAGCTGCCCACTTTGGTTAGCCCTTATTTCAGCTTGATGTCAAAAATGTGTTTCTCCATGGTGATCTTCAAGAGGAGGTATATATGGAGCAACCTCCTGGGTATGTTGCTCAGGGGGAGTTAGGAAAGGTGTGTCGATTGAAAAAGGCTATCTATGGGCTGAAGCAATCACCGCGGGCATGGTTCGATCATTTTAGTAGTGTGGTGCAAGATTTTGGCTTGAAACAATGTAGTGTTGATCACTTTGTGTTTAGTAGAGTCTCGTCATCTAGGAAGATCATTCTCACAGTGTATGTTGATGATATTGTTCTCACTGGCAATGGTACACGTGGAATTGATGAGTTGAAACAATTCCTACAGCAACACTGTCAAACTAAAAATCTAGGAACCTTTAAGTACTTTCTTGGAATTGAGGTAGCTCGATCAAAGTGGGGAATTTCTCTGTCCCAAAGAAAGTATGTTTTAGATATGTTGGATGAAACTAGGTTGTTAGGATCCAAGCCAATTGAAACTCCCATGTGAAGATGACTGATAGTCAAGGGGGGCCATTAGAAGATCCTACAAGGTATCGGAGACTAGTAGGCAAGTTGATTTATCTTACCATCACTAGGCCTGACACCTCCTTTAGTGTTGGAGTCCTTAGTCAATTCATGCAAAATCCAACAACTGCTCATTGGGATGTTGTTATGAGGATGTTGAAGTATCTAAAGGGTGCTCCTGGTCAAGGGCTTTTGTATAAGAAAGGGAGAGATATGTCTCCGGTAGGGTACTTAGATGTAGATTGGGCAGGGTCTCCGATGGACAGGAAGTCTACTCTAGGTTATTGTACTTTCTTGTGTGGAAATCTCGTTACTTGGAAGAGCAAGAAGCATAACGTAGTTGCTAGGAGTAGTGTTGAAGCTGAATACAGGGCAATGGCTCATGCTACCTGTGAGCTAGTTTGGTTGAAGCATCTTCTTCAAGAGATGAATATCACAATTTGTCAACCCATTAAATTGTTTGGGACAACCAAGCTGCAACACATATTGCCTCTAATCCAGTGTTTCATGAAATGACTAAACACATTGAAGTTGATTGTCATTTCGTGAGAAAGAAAGTGACAAGTGGAGAGGTTGTTACTCCCTATGTTAAATCTGAAGACCAAGTAGCTGATATTTTTACTAAAAGTGTGGGTCACTCAAGGATGGACTATATTTGTAACAAGCTGGAACTTTATGATATATACACTCCAGCTTGAGGGGGAGTGGAGTGTTAGAATTGATAGAAGTAGTTAACAGGGGCAGTATTGTATTTTTCATGTTGTTCTTTCTCTCTTGTATCTGCTGTAACTTTCCTAAGGGTATTGTAGTCATTTCAGCTTTAGTAGAATGCTAATACAACCCGGGTCGACAGTAAGAAGAAGTGAACAGATTTCTCCTTTCTAGTTTTCCCTCTTATATCTCCTTTCCCTTCCCTTTCTCTTCCTATCTTCTCTTTCTTTCTTCTATCCTTTTCTTCACCTTTTCTTACTTTATTAAAGTTGGAACACAAAGTAATGAACATAATTCTGAAAATGGGGCACCAATCAGTATAGCCAATAGAATGCAAGTTAGATCAGAAATAATAAAAAAGCAAAGTCAAAAGAGTCTAGCTTCCAACTCATGGACCCTGAAACATACAAATGGTGGACATTCCAGATGTTCCCAGAATCACAGGTTTGAACAAAGAAAAGATTTTGAGAGCCAATGATCACAAAATTCTGGTTAGCTTTCTTCAATGGCAAAAATTCCTCCCCATGGGGTTGGGAGCTGTATATGAAAACTTGAAGAAAACTCTTGTATGGTTATTGGTTAGATCAGAGGCACCACAAGTGGCACATTGACATTGCGCCCCTTTCATTAGAAAAGTATTACATTCAGTAGGATTATGCACTGGCTAGTTCAGCTGCAGATGACCTTGCTAGAGGAGGTATCTTGGGAGTGAGCCTTACTGACAACCTGCTTGCTTAAGTGATTGTTCTTCATGGGCTGTTTATAGATTTTCTTGTGGGATTTAAACCCTTTGGATCTTTTCTTTTCTGTAAGTTTAATCTATCTTGGATATCCATCAAAAGATGAAGTACCCCAAAATTCTTTATTGAAAAGGTAAGAAGATATATCATGAGTTTACTAGAAATTCATGGCATACTTCAGCACAAAATTACAATCACTCAACAAAGTCAGCCTTCTTTCAAAGAAAATTAGTGCCAGTTAGCCCCATCACAAGTTGATAGAAATCAAGCCCTTTTCTGTTAACAGCAGAACATTCATGGGATAAAAAGGTGATTAGGTGAATATTACCAAATGTAAAAACAATGCATAATTCAGAACAAATTTCACCTGAGGATGCAGAGAACCATCAGCAGTCCTATTACCATTTGCTTTAGGAGTTTCACCAACCCGAAGAGGTGGAACATCCTCCCCCAGGATTTCTCTAACAGGACGCACAATAGGAGGACTGGAGACATCCAGGCCCTTCTGACGGTTGGATGACCTGCCCTCCAGCCTAGCTTCTACATCAGGAAACCTCCGCTCTTCAAACCTCCTATTGCCAAATCTGTCATCTCGGCGCCTATCATCAACCACTTCAAAGCGAACAGGACTTCTCCTGTAATCTCCATACCGCTGACCTTCTTGATCAAATCCAGGACTTCTTCGTTCATCATAATTGTATCTGTAGTTTCTCTCATCATTTCTACCAACAGGACTAGGTCTTTCACCATATCGGCGTTCATATACATCCTCATAAGGTGGGCTTCTAGAACCACCACGATTTGTATCCACCCTCCTGTTTTCATAGGAATCCTCCCTCTCACCCTGCATGACATATAGAGTTCACTTAGTAAATTAAGGAAGCTTTTAACAGGAAAAATGTCAACATAGCTTTCAAAACATATACATTGTTGCAACATTGACAACAACCAGACATGCTAAGTTTACAATCTAGAAACTTTATGAAAATTATCACGACCAGTTTACTCATCCAAACAAAAAGTAGGGGAAACTTTACTTACCGACTTAACCCTTCGAGACTTATCGATGCTCGGCTCCCCAGTGTATCTCCGATCCACATAAACATGCTTGATGAAATCCCTGAGTCTATCTACATTACTGGAAACAAGGATTTTAGTCAGAACCATAACCATGCTAAGATTCCTTCAGTAGTATAGTGTAGATCTGTTATGAACCTGCTATCAGGAATAGACTGACGCTGTGGATCCCATTCCTTAAAGTAAATTTCCTTTGCACGCTGTGGAAAGTAGAAAAAGTAATCAAAGGAATGAGAGATAAAGAAAGACAGCAAGAACATTGAGGAAACAAGGGCCATATCACTGATACCTGATTGCCCCCTGCTTGAAGAGCACTAACTTCTTGTGAAGTAAATTTAGCCATTGATACTGATTTCACACGGTGAGTGAACTCCCGGCTGGAATTGATTTTGATACAAAGTCAGCACAAGCAGTTTCCTGTAAGTTAACATTGAACACTACTTGGCCCTATTTATCAAGATTATATCCAAGAGGAAATAAGAATCTAGTTAAAAATTTAACATATAACATCATTACTTATAAGATGCATCATTATGTGATAGACATCAATCATATACAAACAAGTGCATAAGAAATGTCAAAAAGCTAAAACCATGACCCCAAGAAGGGCAATGTATTGAGCCAGATAATGTTTATACTTACTGTATCCCACTGCAGGTTGTGCAAACAAATGTCCAAAAACTTGTACAAACATACTGAGGTCCCTGTTAGACAGTAAAACATTTTTTGCTGTTACAAAGAGCATTAGCAAGAGTATTTTTAAAATAGTCATCAACTCAAATAAGAGTGTTATAGGGAAAAAAAAAACATTATCATAATCAACTCTTTCATATCAACTATAGGTTTACAGAATGCAATAGCAACATGAGAAGAAAATGACAGCAAACATAACAGAAAACCTGTAGAGAATAATCAGCAACTCAATATATTTAGCCCATTCGTATGAAATACTGGAGAAAGGCATCTAGAATACCCATATTTCAGCATATTACACAGAAAATGAAACAAAACCTACTAAACAACTTACAAACTAAGAGGGATACATTTCAGACTGCAAAACCACAGGTGATTCAAAACCAGTATAATAATCCAAAATCAATATTTTCTTTAATGAAAGTCATTGCTATCAATAAAAAATGCTAACCTCATTTGGGATTACAGGGAGGAGATAAAGAGGTTTAAATGATTAACTAGTGAGATGACATTGAGAATTCAATGGGAAACAAGGTCAGCTAATGGAACAGCAGATGCATTAGCTAAACAAAGAGTGATTAGCGACCATTTGTATTGGAGTCAATTGTAATTGGGTTTGCTGCCGGTGAGAGGTTGCACCCCACACCTTTCCTTGGGCAATTGTATCTATTGCAGTTTCTCTTCTTAATAAAATTGTTCTTTTTTACTTACTAAAAAAACTTAAAATTGTCAAGAAGTGGGACCAAATAAACTCCAGAGGTATCCTTGCACATGTCGCATGCTAATCTAGGGATGGTAAGGCCATTTGCCTAACAGATGTAAGTAACACTATACTTTCTGAATTGTAACACCACCCCTACATTCGTCATTTTTCAATTGACTTCTGAACAGATATATAACAGAATATCAATCTGACATAAGAAGAAACTGAATTAGAACTTTTAACCACATGTGCAACTAAGAGCCCTTCAGATTTAATGAACTTGTAAAAAGAGGCATTATTTACACATTAAACTACAGAAAGAATGAGTACATGTGATTATGTTATATCGATTATTTCACACCTATGTAACTATACTATAGCTCTCATTCCAAGCCTCAAGTCTTTCCATCTGATCATCTTCTATTCTAGCATTCCCTGTTTCTATCAAAGATAAAAGAGTCATAATAAGGGAGCTGAACTGAATGACAAATTGCTTTTATTTTAGTGGCTAAAGTAAAACATTAGAGGGTATAGTAATCAACCCAATTTCAGCTTCAGCCATTAGCGACTTCACAATCTCCTTAATAACTTAGTCACTAAAAGCCTTGATGCCCAGATACCAGTACAAGGGTGCCATATCGTGTTGGATACTTCAATTTTTAGTGTCAATTTTGTATCCAATAATTTATCCTTGTGATATCTGGGTAGCATAGATTGATCAAAAAAATATATATCTGGGTAGCATAGAGTAAAAGACAAAGTGATGGAGTGAAAGCCGCCAGGCCCCAATAACTTTGATGGGAGCTCTAACAGGAAATCCGGGTATGGCAGGTATTGGTGGTGTGATCAGAGACTCCTCAAACAAAGTGTTGGCTATGTACTCAGGACCTTTAGGGGAAGGTGACTCTTTAAAAGCTGAACTGTTAGCTCTACTTCAAGGGCTAAAGATTGCCAAGCAAGCTGATTTTAAGAACTTGGAGATAGAAGGGGACTCAAAAATAGTGACATCTTGGACCAATTCAAGCAGTAATGCTCCTTGGTACTACAGACATCAGTTAAGGGAGATAGTAACCATAGCAAGGGCACTTAATGCCTCGTTTACATGGGTCAGGAGAGCTGCAAATGGAATGGCTGATTCTCTAGCTAAACAGGGAGTTCAAAGGCAACAGCTTTTCTGGGCTTTATTGTAAAATTTTCTGTTGAAATGTCTGTGTTTTATCTGCTGCAACTCTATATTAATTCTCTTAATTGAATGAAATTCTCATTTTTGCTGATCAAAAAAAATAGAGTAAAAGACAAAGCAATAATTCAATTGGGTTCAGGCTGAAATGAGTATGAATTATCAGTTTCCAAAATCTCTCTTCTTGACCAACTTGCTCCTATCCATCCTTGTTATTCCCCAAGGTTACTAAATCAACCAACAGATAGGCATCTTTAAATTCCCCAAGATGCACACAAATTCCCCTAGGATTTGGGGATTCCACTAGGGCAGAGTTGTTAGCTGCAATTCAAGGTGTTTGCTATTCAGCTAGGTGTGGTACAGTTGTTAATTGAAGGAGATTCCAAGGTGGTTGTGGGTTGGCCACAAAGTCCAGAGTCTGCAATATGGTGTTTTAAGAACGAAACCAAGAGGTTCAAGTGGTTAACAAGGGTCTGATTGTAAGAGTACAATGGGTTGGGAGATCAGCCAATGCTATGGTTGACTGTCTAGCCAAGCAAGGGGTAGCCAGGGATCATTTGTTTTGGACGCAGTTGTAGTTTGTTGTTGCTTTGGAGAGTATGCAGCTCGCGCCTCTCCAAGATTACTTGTATCAGTTTCTTGCTTTTTATATTGATATAACGAATTACTTTATTTATCAAAAAAAAAGGAACAAAAGACTATTTGAAAACATGTTTATTACAGAAGAGAATTTACTGAAAGGATTTTGGGGTAGGTTGTGTAGGAACACACAGATTGTTCAGGAATAGGCCTTATAGCCCCTTTTTTTATTCCGGAGCTTTTTTGTATCTATGCACACAGATTATACAGATTAGAAGATTACAGATCCGATTGGGCACTGCACAGCTCCTTGTGCAGATTTGGATTGTTTTTTTTTTTTTTTTGAGTAATACAATACTTTACCTTTTTCCTCAAGAAAAAGAATATATATATATATATATTGGGTAATGGCCTTTTACAAAGCTGTACATGCAACATAGCTGAATAGGTAATACAGACACAATGAGGACTCACTATACATTCTATTCCCAATCCACTAGTGAGGAAAACCCCAATTTTACCATGGGATTAGCTATGGAATTGAAATCTCTCGAAATCCACTCAAATAACAGTTATAAGAACCTAAAAAAACTGTCTATAAAACCTCTCCTGAAGCCTTTCCCAATTTTATCGCATTAGTGGACACTGTCAATCAAAAGCAATAAGGACCTTTGTGAGTTAAACATCTTAACACCAACAATAAAGGATGTAATTGTAACCCATTCCCTCAAATAATGAACAGAATTAGAAAATGGTAGTAATACTAGCTGAAAAAAAAAATAGTAAACACTAAGAATATAAATGAACAGAATAAAAATAATAAACATAACATAATCAAGTGAACACCTACAAAACCCCTCAAGTACGAGAGAGGTCACTTAATATCAGCTCATAGAAGAAACTCAATTCAGGATATGATACTGAACAGTGTTTTACAGTTGACACATGAATGCTATTAATATTATTCACGGAATTTTCTCCATTCTTAGAAGCACCAACGTAGTTTTTATTTTAATTTTCCTATTCTTCTGAATAAATAATTATACTTAAACTAAAAAACAATTGAGAGCAAAAGCTACATTACATTGTTGATACGATTGTTTACAATCATTGATCAATTTCCTTTTCTGGCGTCACAGTGAAATGCAATTGATAAAAAAGGTGGCGGCCACCCTCCGAATCCGAATTAAGAGAAAGAGAATCAAACGACCACTCAACGAGGACAAAGCGAAATGTACAAACAAAAATGAGCCACCAGAGATGCAAGAGCATACCAGACTGTTACAATTGATACACCTCCGATTTTCAGGAAGTTTCAGGAGACCACGAATGATCCGCTCATTCTTCTCGTCTTCCTTCACCCGATTCGCCATATCTCAGGGGTTTTCCAGCTTCTTCGCGCAATTCCAGTCAGAAACCCAAGAAAGAGAAGGAAAATTGGAAAAGAAAGAAAACATTTTAATCAGTATCCATTCTTTGGAAATCAAAACAACCGAAATCATTAACCAAAGGAAGATATTCGATAATGTATTCACTCTAGAAAGCAGAAATTCAACAAAATGGAAGAATATATATCGAATTCGAGTGTTAAAGAATGGACCCAAATATATAATTCGTTGAGCTTAGCTAATGCAACTGTAATTGATTGAAGACTGGGGATAGGAGTGGAGAGACAGAGAACTGACCTGACTCCTCTTTGGATGAATGAATTCGACTTCAAAAACCTAGCTAACGCCAACAGAATCCTGCAACAGTGACGATGATAGCAGAGGAAGATCGATTGGGTGCATGGATGTACAGGGATTGTCAGACTTTTTAGGGTTTGGAAACGAAGATCCGTGCAGCAAAACTCTGTTTTTTTCCTTGGTGTGAGAGACAGAAGGAGCGAGAGAGAAGGGAAGAGTTCTTTTCTTCACCCATGGTCAAACACAGGAAACCTCGCCTGTTTTACCGGTGCGTGACCGGTTTTTCCCGGTCTGAAGATGGCAATTAGGCATTATTCATGACTGAAAATTACAAACATATCCTCTCAGTGTGGAAGCGTGGAAGGCAAAAGGTGGCCCGACCGGCCGACCGGGCCGACCCTACCCTGGCCTCATGGAGGCTGTTGCTTTGCGGTTAGTTAAAATCATTGCCCTCGCTTTTTAACGAATTAACCTAATCCACCATGGAATATTGGCAGCGAATACGTGTCATTTTTCCCTTTTTGTCCTCTTATCTCTATACGTAATAAAGCATGATGCAAAAACCAGTAGCATCATACGCAAAATAAAAGCGTCATCACTTCGGGTGCTCACGGTTCAGTTAATAATGTATATTTATTAATTTATAATATAAAAGCATCATCAGTTGATTAGTTTGGTTTGTTAATTTTTTATAATATATATTATAAATATATATAATAAAAAATATTAATATATAATATTATATTTAAATAATAAATAATATATTATATATTATAAATATATATTTATATATAATGTATATTTATTAATTTATAATATATATAATATACATAAATATATATAATATATAAAAATATATACATATTGATCGGTTCAATTAACTGTTAATTTTCTATATTAGTTAATCGAAATCAAAATGATACCTTCAATTTTTTTAAAACGCCAAACCAACTGATTCGATTAACCAATTTTTTAATTCGGTTTCTATCAATTTGGTTTTTCGGTTTTTCTCATCCTTGGTCATCAGCCGTTGACTTATGAGACCAAAATGGCTCTCCATCTTTCACTAAGACCACTCTTTCAGTATATCAATCAATGAATCAATAGCCTTTATTCTCTTTTTCTGATGTGTTAAATGGAAATTTAAAATATAAAAATTAAGTGGAGCCCCTACGTGAGGAATGTAATTCATCAGATTGGAATCTTTTAAGCACGTATTTTACTGAATTTGTAAATGGAATTTTAAAATATAAAAATTAAGTGGGCCCCTACGTGAGGAATGTAATTCATCATATTGGAATCTTTTGAGCACGTACTTTACTGAATTTGCTGCATATCAAAGATTACGTTGAGATACTATTTGGCTGTGGCCCCACACAACAATAATAAACTTGCGAACAACGTAGGTACTCAAAAAATCATAACCGTCCGTAGGTGTCTCTCTACATTGGAATATTTGACGTATTGAGGCCGAATTGCTGATTGATTGCGTAATGATCAAGTCTTAGCCATAAAATTCTTGGGCCCACACATGAACGTTTGCCACGTTCCATGTGATTTGTCTTACGTTGGTGCAGTTTAGTCACTTGGATCTCTCTCTGTGTTCGAGAGAAACAATTTCGTAACGTCATTTGCACGGACCAACCTCGTGTCGGCATAGGGTCATTTTGGTCATTAAATTCTGAATTTGACCACAGTAAATTATAAAATTAATAAGTTTGGAATCTCCTACCCACAAATTCTAACCACATCTACCCAACATAATATATCTTCGTGCATTGGGAACATCTCCCTATGCATAGTAACATGTAAAAACACATGTGGCTGCTGCGATCTTAAGTGGGTAAATGTGGGTATTAGGATTGTTCACGGGTTGGGTTGGGTTAGTTTATTGCAGTTTTTTCAACCGATCTGACCTGATCGGGTTACCTGACATAGAAACCGAAATCGATCCAGTTTTTTCATCCCTGTGATAAAATCTTGTTAATTTTAAAAACAATCATAAATTGAACATCATTTCAGCCATATCCTATGATAAAATTTAAATGAAAAGTTAACCACAAAAGTTGTTCATTAATCACTATTCACTAATCCAAAGTTTCTTGCAACCATTCAAAAATTAGGTGGCCTAATGGACTTTGGAACTTCATGTTTGAATTAGGAACTAAGTCGGTTCAGTTTGAATCAGTTTCGGTTTTCTTGTGTGAATACCGAAATCGACCCAAATTATCGGTTTAAGAATTTGCACAACCTTAAACCGACCCGTACTAATAAAAACCCAACCGACTCAGATTGGATCGGTCTAGATTAGTCGGTTTAATCGGGTTGGGTCTTCTTATGAACAGCCCTAATGAGTATAATCGTCGTTGTTAGGAGATCGGGACTACTAAAATTGCCTATGAAATGCTATAATGCCCCTATATGTAGGCTATTAAAGGCACGAGGACATGTGTATTGTTATGATACCAAACATCGGCGAAATCACCAATTTGTTGACCACGACTAAAGACCGTACTTATTCAACACCAGGGCTCACGTGAGAGATCTTCTATTGCGGGGCACACATCTTGATCCACGAATACAAATTCTGAATTCCTGACGCCTGGAATCGGGATTTGCTCCTCAAAAAGCGCACCTCACACCGAACCCGGTTAGACCAGCTCGATAAAGTGGATGAGAAATTATCGGGCTGGGTGGGATGGTAGGAATATAGGATGGCAACCGCACTCTCGACGGTTACTGGCTTTAAAACGAAGTAACCCGACGAGTTCCCCAGTTTGGTAGATCCACTGATGGTCTATCATCCACGTATCGGGTCTACCGGTTGGTCCCCGCCTGGCCAAGCTAGAATTATATGTTCAGAGTCTGGCCCAATATATCAGAAGTCTTTCCTGCAAAAAAAAGGTGGCATGTAGGGGATCCGAACCGTAGGCCTTTTTTTTTTAACCAAACCGATTTTATCAGGTAATCGAAATTGAACCGAAACCAATTGATTAACTAGTTGATCGGTTCAGTTAATCATTGGTTCGATTTGTTGGTTTTTTTTATTTTTTATAATATATATAAATAAAAAATAAAATATTATAAATATATATTTATATAATACATATTTATTAAATTATAATATATATAAAAAATGTATAAAAATATATATATACCAGTCGGTTCTGTTAACCATCGATTTTCTATATTGATTAACCAAAACTGAACTGATCAATTCAGTTAACCGATTTTTGGTTCAATTTCGGTCGGTTCATTTTTTTTCACCCCTAGTTGTCTGGCCCAGTTACATCACATTGGGTGTATATGACTTATTCTGGGTCGCTTCAGAGGACCGTCTTCTCTGGCCTGCGCGTAACATCCATCTAAGTCATGAAAAAGTAAGGCTCCAAATGGTATCTGATTTATCCGAATTTCAATTTGAATTTGATTCAATTAAGGGTGACCCGGATTCGATTTGTTTGTAATTAGACCAAATATTGATTTACCCTAGATTAGTTTTAATTTATTTTGTTCATAAAATATAATATTTTAATAATCTTTAGTCTAATTTATTTATACTATTTAATATCCTATTATAATCCAAATTCAATTCAAATCCATGCATGCATTCTTATTCGAATTTAAATATAAATAAATCATATTCGGATTTCGTGGATTCGATTTGATCCGTTTGCAGCCCTATCAAAAAGTTTCTCCAGAGACCAAATTTGTGCTTTTTGGTACACAGTTCCAGTCATGTTTTGGACAGCTCGAATGCCAGGGACTGACAAAATAAGTACTTACAAGGCTGGCCTAGGCCAGGCCTTTTAGGCTATTACAACGAGTTGTTTGAGAATTCTGAGTTTGGGGCTGAAGGAGCCCAGAAGTGGACCTGTAGTTTCACTGTCAATTTAACCTTTTTTTTTTAAATCCAAAGCTAGCCGGGCTAAAAGAACTTTGGCCCAAAAGCAAGAAAATAAGAGAGAGAAAAGGTAGGTCTTAGTGTGAAACCTTCAATAGAGGCATCAACTTCCATTCTTCCAATGTTGACAAGTTGCCTAAATTTGGGATTTTTCTATTTATTTTTCTTTTTCAGTTGTTTTTGGGTGGGCCCAGGTTGGGCTGCCGTTGTTGCTAGCTTAGGGTGGAGACTAATCTGATTGAAGGCTACATTTTTTCTACCTAAAAAATGAAATCTGGTTCAACAAAGAGCCTATATGGATAGGTTGGGACCAGATACACGTGTGCTACATGCTAACGAAAGACATCTTTATTCGTTACCTTTAAAAAATGTATATGTTAAGATATTATATAAATTAATTCGTTGGCTTTGAACATGACATGAGTATAGGGGTATAAAAGGAAGAAGAGTGGGTGTGTAGAAAGGCATTATGAGAATTTTGTAACCAAAGGCTCAGTTTTGCATTTTACATATTTGTATTTGTACTATTTTCAAATTGAGCACAATGAATTAGTTATAGTAGTAACAAATCACGTAGTTATTTATGGAACTGAATGTGAGCTTAATTAGAGATTCGTAGAGGTGGCAATGAATTAAGCTTTTTATGGGTTGTTCGAGTTCAGCTTATAGAAAATATGATTTGGCTCTCTAGATCAAGTTTTGAGTTGATTTTGAGTTTAATATATGGGCCTGTTTGTTAATTGAGCCGAGTTCAAGTCCAATTAAATTTGCCTCATGAAGTCCATGAACATAATCGAGCTTTTACTCTTAAGTCTTAGCAACATATAGAGGACTGTTGTGACTTATGATAGTAGGAATGGATGAAGAATGGTAAAGTAATCGAAAAAACAAATACAATATTTTGGGGATAAAATATGAAGGCTAGGTTCTCACCTTTTAGAAACTAAAGCTCTCACTTTCTAATTTCCATTTTTTATGAATTCAAAGACTAAGCAGGAAGTGGCCAATAGACTAAGCAGCTCTGCCGACTTTATTTCAACTTGGATAAAGCCTCGTCAATCCTCTTCGTGAGGTACCCTTTACAAGATGAGCTATTTGTGGCTTCCGCGGGAGTTGGCAGCCAACGGACTGCATGGACGCCCTTGCTGGTCGAGCCTTCAAGGGCTCCCACACGAGCTAATGACCTAAAGTCAGTAGTGTTGCCCCCGTAAGTCGAGCTCACAGTAGCTTTTTGTAGGAGTGGGTGACCAGCATCACTAACGAGGCTGATGCAGCGCAGCCGTAACTCCAAAGTGTCGAACTGATAAAAGACCTCGGCACCACATAAGACCCAGTTGCC